AAAAAACAAAACATCGATTTCTCTTTTTTTCTACATGGTGGGCATAATTGCATTTTAAGACATGCTCATTTCACTAAATGTTGGGAGACCAGACTCAGAAAAAATCATTACCAGTCAAACATAAAACCTCGCAGTCATAAAACTAAAGTAAAGAAACAAAGTTAGCTGGATGAGTCACTGCTTGCCAAGTCATTTTTTTACAAAGGTAAAAAAATGCTAACATTATACCTTAGTTTTACTTCAACTCGAATTCATGCAAAAACAACATGCATTGTGAAAATCTGAGTAAGCTGGTGGACACTTTTTGTGCTATACAGTATAAGGGCTGGTGTAAGAGTTCACATGCCAGGTGGCTGTGCTTAAATTTTATGTCACCATGCTTTCTCGATGCAACTCTGCTGCTGCAGCAGAGCTTATTGGCAGTTTTTTATGACTCCCCAAACTTACATCCATTGGCAACAAGCCTGGACAAATGTGGCAGGGGTATCATTCTGCCACAGCCAAGAAGAATTCCACTGCACTGGGAAGGAATAGTGATTCTATGATGGCTTTTCAATTTTGCTAAACTGCCTGAGTATAAAACTTTGTCTTAGAATACTCTAGTCATGAAACAGCCTGATTAAACACAGTATGAACATATGTGTAGGAAATATATCAGAGAACAGCATTATTTCTATGGAGCAAGTAAACATCACTTTATTTTTTTGTTTGTTTCAAAGGCGTCTCCTTCAAGCAGCTAAGAAGGCCAATCAGACAGGCCATTTCATCTGGGTAGGTTCAGACAGCTGGGGATCCAAAATTTCACCAATACTGCACCAAGAAGAGATGGCAGAGGGTGCTGTCACCATTCTACCCAAACGACAGTCCATCAAAGGTATTTGCACTGCCAAACTCTACCTCAATGCTCAAAATATTTAATTTTCTTTGAAGAAAATCTTAGTTTGAAGTAAATTCTGTATTAATACTTGCACTTTACTGCATATTGTTGGTGTATGTTTGCCTCCTTTAGTAATCTCCATTCTACCTTGAAGATACCAGATTTGACAAAAACAATTTTTAAAAACAGGGCTTTACAGTGTTGATAATTGCCTTTGTCACCTCAGTAAAAGGTTAACTCTTAATGTTCACTTTTGAAAATTTTTGGATTACCATTAACTGAATTTGTGCTGTTGCTGTTGGATTTGATTTCAGGTTTCGATCGCTACTTCATCAGCCGAACGCTAGAGAATAACAGAAGAAATATCTGGTTTGCAGAGTTTTGGGAGAATAACTTCCAATGCAAGCTCAGTCGTCATGCTATGAAGAAAGGATCTGGTATCAAAAAATGTACAAGTGAGTCAACATTTATTGGCAGAGAGGGCACTCTGTCAATGTACAGCTCTTGATCAATGGCCAAGTTTATTGACTGGTTCTGCTGTGAATACATTGTGCGTTTGTGTGTGTGTGTGTGTGCGCGCGCGTGTGCGTAAGTAGCATGCACTGCTAAATTTATTTGTCATCAGGGAGAATGCAATCAGACTCTTCTAATTTAGGCTAAACGTAATGGGTGTGGATAAGTGAATGGGAATCTCTAATTTTCCAACAGAAATTAATGTGGCTGGCTAGTTCAATCTGCAGTGAGCGACAATGGCAATCACAAAGCTATACCACCAGATGTGCTGAAAATATAATCAATACTAAATCCAGTTGTCCCATTAGAAACAAGCTTTCAGGTCATTAAAATCAGTAGGTTATCCAGGCCTGTTTGCCACAGAAAAGAAGTAGTTTAAATCTGGCACCTTTAATACTTGTAGGCAATCAGTTTCTGAAATAGCTGCCTATATATATTAAAGGATCTTACATAATCAAACACAAAAAGCCATTACTAAAAAGGCTGACTGTTCTATACAACTGAGATATGTTCAATGCCCATCTATTGAGCCTTGATGACTAAAGACACTCTGTGAGTGATAATTGCAGCTGGGGATAGAAAATGAGGGTTGTGTCTTGTCATTTCCTTTTAAAACAGGCAATATTACATTAACTCCCCTTTACCCAGTGATTGGCCAGCTGTGTGACGGCGTGAAAGTATCATGGTTTCAGTGTCTCTTACAAGATCATTTTCTTTCTCTCATTATAGAAAAAAAATTGTCGTGTTTCTTATTTACAGCAACACTCTAAATGACCTCCAAGAAATTGCAAAACCAAAAATTTTTATTGTCATTTAACCTACAAATCTCCTTAAGATGTACCTCCTTGGAACAACACTGTCCCCTTTTGATAGATCAATACATCATACAAAATAATTGTTTGTAAGCATAATACACTTCTAGTCCACTTATATATATATAAACTGCTTAGAGCTTGGATGTAAATCCAACCTATTAATCAGCTTCAGTGATATTTTCATATGACAACATTAGAACAATGACAAAATGTGAAACCTGATAAACCCACAGAGAAAAACCTCCACTCGTTTTTTTTAAATCAAGCTTGTGTTTTGTTCATTTTCACTATTCTTAAAACAGTAGTTTTCTAATTATCAATTAATTCTATATTGTGATCAAATATGTCCTAGGCATGGTCACTACCTAACTAAATGTGACTTGTTTCCTTAGAAACAAGTTATGAAGAATCAGAATTTATTCAGTAGAATTGGTTATAGGTTATAGAATGGTATAGAACATAGGATATATAGGACTTTGACTACAACAAGGTAAAAAAAAAAATCAGCAAAAACACTGCCTTAACTTCTAGCAACTAATCAGTGCAGTGCAACCAAAAACTTGTATGAGTGAGGGAAAATGAGAAGGTAATTTGATATAAAACTGGATGCTAAAAAAAGGAGGAGGAAAATTCATTCTAGCACAATCAGATTCTCAGTGGAATCAATGACTCAAGATCTGACATAGAAACAGTCTCATGCTAATGTCAGTTTAATGGTTGTATTCATGTCAGGTGCCATTACCAGGAAAAAGCAGAAAGCTGGGTAATCTCAATACTCTAATGTGCATGAGAAAAATCTAATTCAGAGCCACCAAATTTCAGGACATTAATGATGGTTCTTTATAAATGACAAACTGAAAAGTGTCTGTTATGGCACCAAGATTCAGAATTAGACTCATGTATTACGTAGACACATCTTATCCTATTTTCATTGCATCAGTTTAACAATAACAATTCAGATTAATGTCTAAAACATCGGTCACCTCATTTAGAAGTATGCTAAACATGTCATATACAGTAAATTGTTCTGGACGAGATGCCTGCGTGGTCACAATTATGCATTTTTTTTTTTTTTTTCTCTGCAGAAAAAAAGTGACTGTCAGCGTTTTGCAAGCTAAACACAATTCTTTCATTTGGAAAGATAAAGACAGTTTATGCTTTTTTGTAAAGTATGTAACTTTATTACAGCTGCATTTTTGTATTTCGTTATTTCATCATTGTATTTCATTAGCAGTATAATGCATAACTACCTATTTCTAAAGTGTGTGGTAACAGTAAAGTTCAACAATATAATTTCAGGATTTTCCCTCCCACCAGGCGATGACGGCTTTTGTCTTAATTCCAGGTGATGTAGAACGCAGCAACCTCAAAATGCCACCAAATAACAAAGGAACACATTAAATTAGTAAAACAGAACATGAGCTTGAACATGCAAGTTAAACAGTACCACGGTGACTTATTTATAGTCTCTTAACAACACTGTGTCCTTGGTAAAACAGAGCGATGCTTCAAACAATCCACACTTTCATGAGATTTCTGTATTTATCTGTTGTCATGGTGGCTGCTCTTGAGCTAAATTGCTGCTGCCCCTTTCTTCCTCTGAGTAGCCTCCAAGGTACAGCAAATTTTACGGGCAAGAGTTGCAGTAATTTCACTCAGATTCTTTTGTAAGTACTGTCACTACTACCCATTGTTACTTTTGCAAGAACAATCATTTCCTGTTCCCACTTCAAGAGTTTCTTAGTCACTGGAACACTCAACTGTAACATATCAACATGTGTGAGTTATCAAGAAACATCTTACAACAAACAAAAGGAAATAATTTAACCCTTAAAACCCTGTTCCTGTGACTGCTTTTTATAAATTGGAGCTATGTGATATCACTCAAAAAAGATCTGTGAAAAAATAACCAACCAACCATCAATATGATTAGTTGAGCATGTAATTATCCCATTTGTATGATATATAAGCATTTAATCACACAATGCAAGTTACTGACAAGTGATTTATGTACCATAACAGCAGGGTAGTAGTAGGTCATCTTCCACAACCAAAGCATTAAAGGATATTTGAGTTAGTGTGCAGGGAAAACAACGGAGAGTGTAGGTATGATTCACATTCTACTGCTGTCCTCATTCTCAGTGTTCTTGTATCTGTTGCCACAAAGGACAAGGTTTATTTTGCAGCTTCAGATCCACATTGTCACCTCCGAGCCACAGGTCATTTTACTGTTACATTCAACAACAAAGCCTTATAGAAAGCTACCTGTAAACAGCCGATAAACTGAGACTATACTGTCCTCCAGTTTCCCCACTGTTTCTGCCATTATCAGTTCCATGTTTGGTGTCACTGATACTTGGAGGTCCCAGAACAGAGCCATACCACCAAATATAAATTACAGCAGATAGAAAAACAATCTGTGCTGACAGAATGCAGTTTAAAATTATGTTGGCAGACAATAGAAAATTTAACCAGCCACAATTCTTGAAAATCTTCAAAACAATATTGCAGAAAGAGGAAAAGCAGCACACACATTTTGTTGCATTTTAGTTTTTTTTTTTTTTACACTCTCCACAAAACTTGAATACATTTTAGGTCACATTTATCCTCTTTCATAGGGTCCGGTATTTTTATAATCACCAGTTTAAAAAAAAAATCTTACTAAAACTTTGGACAGTTTTTTTGGGGGTTTTTTTTGAGGGGGGGGTTTGTTTTGCACACAACCATAAAAAGCACCATAATACTCCCAGTTACAGAAACTAATTAGACCCCATAGGAAATCTGAAAGGTTCACATGTGAAATGCTGAATGTGCAGAATTCAACTTTGCCTTCTGAGCTATTCACACTTCACTGTACTTAACAGTATTTCATGCTAGTGAACCGTAAAACATGATCCTGTTTTGCAGAGCAGGATGAACAAGAAATGGCTGTGAAAAAGCATAGACTTGTGAAAGGAGACAAGTCAGTCATAGCAGAGAGACACTGCACAGTATGATACAGTTATACTTACCAGTAATGAGCAGGGAAATATGAATCATAATTTCTTTAGGGTGAACAGACACTCTAGTCCTCAAATCTGCCACAAATACTGTTACAAAGCCATGACACAGCACTGTTTCTTTACTTGTCTATTTGCTAAGTCCCTGGGCAAGATACTGAACCCTAAGTTGAACCTGATGCATCCATCAGTGTGAAGAAGACTTGAAGAGTGAAAAGCTCAAATTGAGTAGAAAGGTGCTAAATCAGAACGCTGGAAGCTAAAGTCAGGGAAGCCCAGAGATTGGTCCAGGATGAAAAAGAGGTACAAGATGTCCAAAACTGAGACTCAAGAAACTGCCAAAGCAAGGCTCACAGCTTTGGGCACAAGGCTGAAGAGATATGCCAGAGAAGCTGAGGTCAACAGAATAAATGACCTGTCCTCCAAAAAGCACTCTCAACTACAAGGGAACACTAATACAAGGGCAGAGCTGAAACTGAGCAATATTGGTTGAACATCTGGAATAAAGCAGATGTTCAAGCAGACCACAGCAACCTCCCTCCAGGTCCAACCAGACAAACTAACCAGAGCACTGCCTGGATTTGCTACAAGAAAGCCTATGATTCAATGTCCCACACATGTATATTAGAGTGCTTCAATCCATTCAACAGGAACTGTGAAATAAAACACAGTTGTTGTCTTGTACAACTCCAAGGTACAAGTTACCATCAAGAGTTGAATATACCAAGGTGATGCACTGCCCCCATTGCTGTTCTGCATAGATGTTAACCCCGTAAGTCAGGTCATCGCTAAGAGTGGATACTGATATAGAATTAGGAGTGGAGTCATCATCAGCCACATCCTGCACATGGATGACATCAAGCTGCATTCCAGAAGTGAGATATTGACTCAGCTCACAAGGATCTACAGCAAGGACATCAGGATGTCATTTGGACAGGATATGTGTGGCTGAATGGTTGCAAAGAAAGTGGAGGTGATCTGGACTGAAGGGACGAAGCTACTAGAATGCAGAAGAGCAGATAGACAGGACATCTAAACATATTTGAGTATCCCACAGGCCAGTGGGAACTATGATAAAGATGTACAAAGGTCAGTCACAGCCAAATACTTCCTGAAAGTCTTTGGTAC